AAAATCCAAATGTCAAACCAAATGTATCAACTCCATCCCTGTTCTACCCATTGCCCTCAACAAACTTACTCCTCTTCTGAGGTTTCCTATTCCAATCATTGGCTTGCCTGCCTAAATCCTTCACATTTAGATAAAATGCTTCCTCTTTCTTGAAGCCTTCCCTGACACTTTGGTTAGAATTATGAGCTCTTTTATTTGCACCATGCTTTACCTTTCCCCCCCTTTTCCTTTGGCACACTGGCAATGGCCTTGTTATTGATTTATGAAATTAGAGAACTGAAGATCTTATTCCCATCTCTTGACCTCTGGCTGGCATGGAAGGGATATACTGTCATTTGTTTAACAATTTTATTCTAAATTTTTTATGTGGAATAATTTTAGACTCAGTTGCTAAAATAGTAACTTAGAAGTAGAAAGAGAGACTGGAAAGTATAGCAGATTCAAGGAAGACATAAGCCCACATACTGATGTAAATATTATTTGGAGGCTAGATAGATTTGAGTTGGGGCCAAGTACAGGTGGGCTGAGAACCACTGAGGCCCCTCAAATATGCTGAGAGAATAATTACAAGTTTCATTTGTCACAGACTTTATCAGTGACTGGAGAAGCAGAAGCCAGCATGGTCTTAAGGGACATCACTACCCTTGTCAAACCTTTCCTCTATGTTAAGGTGACATTTAGATTAGGAGAAGGGGGAGAAGAAAAGAAATCCCAAGAGACAACAATTATCCCAAACAGAATTACTTTTTAAAAAATTTGCATATATTTAAGGGGTACAAGTACAGTTTTGTTACATAGATATATTGTAGAGCAGTGAAGTCTGGGCTTTTAGTGTAATCATCACCTGGAAAATGTACATTGTACCCATTAAGTAATTTCTCATCCCTCACCTCCCAACCCCTACTCTTTTGAGTCTCCAATGTCTATTATTTCACACTCCATGTCCACGTGTACACGTTACTTAGCTTCTACTTACAAGTGAGAAAATGTGGCATTTGACTTTCTGTTTCTGAGTTGTTTCACTTAAGATAATGGACTCTGGTTCCATCCATGTTGCTGCAAAAGACATGAGTTCATTCTTTTTTATGGTAGAATAGTATTCCATTATATTTGTATATATATATATATATATATATATATATATATATATATATATATACAACACATTTTCTTTATCCAATCATCCACTGAGGGACACATAAGTTGATTCCATACTTTTACTACTGTGAATAGTGCTGCTATAAACATATAAGTGCAGGCATCTTTTTGATATAATTATTTCCCCCCCCTTTGGATAGATATACAGTAGTGAAACTGCTCATTCAAATGGTAGTTCTGTTTTTAATTCTTTGAGAAATTTCCATAATGTTTTCCTTGGAGGCTGTACTAATTTACATTCCCACCAACAGTGTTTAAGTGTTCCCTTTTCTCTACATCCTTGTCAACATCTCTTATTTTTTGACTTTCTAATAATAGCCATTTTGACTGGTGTAAGATGATAGACATATCATTGTGGTTTTAATTTGCATTTACCTATGATTACTGATGTGGAATATTTTTCATAAATTTGTTGGCCATTTGTATTTCTTCTTTGAAAATAATGTTTATTCATGTCCTTTGTTGACTTTTTAATATTTGTTGTTGCCGTTATTGAGTTGTTTGAGTTCCTAGTAATTTCTGGGTATCAGTTCCCTATTGGATGCATACTTTGCAAATATTTTCTCCCATTCTGCAGGTTGTCTTTTCTCTCTGTTGATTATTTCTTTTGCTGTGCAGCAGTTTTTTGGTTTAAGTCCCATTTGTTTGTTTTTGCTTTTGTTCGCTTGTGCTTTTGAGATCTTATTCACAAATTCTTTGCCTAGACAAATTTCCAGAAGAGTTTTCCCTGGGTTTTCTTCTAATATTTTTATAGTTTCAGGTGTAACATTTAAGTCTTTACTCCATCTTGAGTTGGTTTTTGTATATGGTGAAAGATAGGGGTTTAGTTTCATTCTTCTACATATGGATATCTAATTTTCCCTGTACCATTTATTGAAAAGAATATCCTTTCTTGTATATGTCTTTTGTTGACTTTGTCAAATATCAGTTGGTTATAGGTATGTGGCTTCATTTCTGGGTTCTCTATTTGATTCCATTGAACTATGTGTCTATTTTTATAGCAGTACCATGCTGTCTTGGTTACTATAGCCTTGTAGTATAATTTGTAGTGTGATGTCTTCAGCTTTGCTCTTTTTTGCTTAGATTTGCTTTGGCTATTTGGGCTCTTTTTTGATTTTTATGAATCTTAGGATTGTTTTTTCTAATTTTGTGAAAAATGATTGGCATTTTGATAAGGTTTGCATTGAATCTGTAGATTGCTTTGGACAGGGTAGTGATTTTAACAATATTAATCCTTCTGAGCATGGGATATTTTTCCATTTGTTTGTGTCCTCTTCAATTTCTTTCATCAGTGTTTTGTAATTTTCCTTGTTACCTCCTTGGTTAAATATATTCCTAGGTATTTTAATTTTTTTGGTAGCTATTGTAAATGGGATTGCCTTCTTAATTTGGTCCTCAGTGTGATTGTTACTGGTGTATAGAAATGTTGTTGGCTTTTGTACCTTGATTTTGTATCTGGAAACTTTGCTGAATTCACTTATCAAGTCTAAGAATTTTTTGGAGAAGCTTTTTGGGTTGCCTAGGTATAAGATCATGTCATCAGTGAACAGAGATAATTTGACTTCTTCTTTTTCAATTTGGATGCCTTTTATTTCTTTCTCTTGCTTGATTGTTCTGGCTAGGATATCTGGTGCCATGTTGAATAAAAGTGGTGAGAGTGAACTTTTTTGTTTTGGTCCAGAGTTTTAACTGCCAAGTTTAAGTCTCTTTTTCTGCCTTCAATCTTACAAAAATGGGTAGCAGAAAGCAAGATGAGACCATTATAAAAAATATTCTGCATGTACATAGCAACACTGTTTTGTAGTGTGTTATATACTTCACTCTACTATGATGGCTGTATCTGTATTGCCTCTCATTCATATTCAATTTATCTTATTTGGGCACTTGTATTTACCTATCTCTGTTGGCTCTGGTCCAGAACTAGCCAGAAACTAGTTCTGTCTTTGGAAAGTGGACTACTGACTCGTCAGCAATGGTTGAGAGAGGCTTCTTTCTTACACTGTAGGCCTGTGGCTGAATGTACTCCCTTTGAGGTTACCACTGAGTTGATTTGCACTTACATATGTGAAAGTAGGAAGAATTCAACCTCTTTTTTGTTTCTTTCTTTAAAGAGAAGAGCAGGGTTATAGGATTAAACAAGAAAGACTAAAATACAGGATCAAAATAGCTATCCCGCCACATAGTCTGGGAACTTGTTCCACAGTACAACTGGGCAAAGAGGCCAATGTATAGTCATGCACTTCCTTCTTGGATCTAGCCTGAGGAAGTTTGGCTCTGCTTAGTTGCTGTGACTTCATCAGCTTCTCCAGTGGGCAGTAGGGGAGTCAAATTCAAAGTTTAATGTTGTACAGGTTTACCTTTGAACCTCCTACTTCCAAGTGGCCTACATTTGAAATGCCTGAGGCCTGTCTTGTGGCCAGTAAGCAAAGAGGTTCATATTGGTCTAAATCAGGGACAGCAGCACAGGTAGGCACACCTTTGTAAATGGCAGAGGGTGGGTGGGGTGCTGGCAGGGTAGCTTTGGGACCAAGAAGGAGCATTGTGCTCCATAGTTGGAAGCTGCTCCCAGTGGGATGAGGTCCTGGACAGACTGCACCTCTTATCTCAAGGCTTTCTTATCTTTGGGTCCCACACCCTTGGGGCTTGTCTCCCTGGATTTCACTGAGCACCAGAATTTAGGAGTCAAATGTCATAAGGCAGATGTGGACAAATGGCTAAGACAGCAAGGGGCTGGTTTAGTTGTCAGTGGATGGATTTGTTCTTTGGAGATCTAGTCTTGAGTTACAGAGATAATTTTCTTGCTACGCCTGGGCATTGAAAACCAAACTTCCAGCTGTTTGCTAGGCATCTCTAGCCGTAGCTTCACTTCGGCTTTCCAAATGCAGTTTGTCTAAAACTGAGGCCTTATTCCCACCAAAAGCTGCTCTTCTCCACTATTTCTGACTTTAATTTTTGAAAGACCCACCTTAACCTAGATTCCCAAATCAGTTATATGGGGTTATTTCACTTGTTCTTATCTCACATCCACATCTAATTAATCACAAAGACCTCTTGGCTCCATTTCCAAATACTTTTTTTATCTTAAAGTTTTCTCTCTTCAGCATTTCCTCTGCCTTACTTCTGGCCTCCATAATTTTCCCCAAGTCTTTAATATGTTCTTCTTGCTCGCTGCCAACCAGCCCTCTGTTATGGCACAGAGGGATCTTTCCACAGTGTAAGTATGTAAATTCAAATACCTGAACATGATCTGACTGGTTCTGCTTACATCTGCGGCTTCACTTTCTTCCTCCCCAAACCTAGCTAGTGTGTCTGCTGCCTGTAATGTCCTCCTTCCTCTGCAGAGCTCAATTCCCTAGGACCTTCTACTTTACCTCCTCTAGAAAGTTTTTCCTCCTTTCCCCCAGGGGCGATAGGGTCTGGTTATTTTGACTATTAGCATAGGTACAAACATTTGTCACAAGTCTTATGCTGCACTGGTACTGACTTTGAAGTAGTTTCGGACGACCTTGACAAAACCCAGTAGGTGTTCCATAAATGTATGAACGAATGACGCATTATAACTGTTCTCAACAGACAAACGTAAAGATCATTTAGGAAACTTGTCAACACTTTTTTGTCTCCTCGAGATTCTGTTTTGGAGGTCAGCAGTGGGGGTCCAGGACTCTGCATTTTGACAGTTCCCGGAAGATTTCCACGCAGGAGGCGCAGCGATTACCATCTGAGCTACCTTCGTCGTCGCTGAGGGTGACTCCCCAGGGAGTAACTGAGAGCCACTCAAGGAAAGTGGATGCGTGCTATTTCTCTAGGTAAGCGCCTACACCTAGGAGGTGTTTGTCGAGCGAATGACGCAACGACAGGTGAAAGGGTGCGGGGTCAGCCAGCTGGCGTCCCCAGCTCCGACAGCTCGCAGCCGCAAGAACAGCCCTCGCAAGCCCAGCGGGTGCGGCAGCTCCTCCCGGCGAGGGGAGTCTCGCGGGCCGCATTTCCCAGGGTGCCAAGGGAGCCCGCGCAGGCGCACTTGGAGAACCCGGCGCCGGCCTTCCTCCCAGAAACTGACGGGCCGCTGGCTCTCGTCCTGCCCCCGCCGCTCCCGGCTCCTCCCTGTGTCCCGCAGGCTTAACCCAGGGGCTCGCTCTGCTTGCTTCAGTGTGTGTTTGTGTGAGAGAGAGTGTGTGTGTGTGTCGCTGCAGGCTGGACTCATGGCCTCGCCGCTGAGGTTCGACGGGCGGGTGGTCCTGGTCACCGGCGCGGGGGGAGGTGAGCACGCGAAGGTCGGAGGGCCCAGTTCGGGCCAGGGTCACGCGCGCAGCCGCAGCTGGGTTCCCCGCGCCGGGGCTGCGGGCGCTGGTCACCAGCAGTTTTGAGGCGCGAGCGGCTGGACCGGGTGGTGGTGGTAAGGGGACCGGGTGGTGGCGGTGGTGAGAGGAACGGCGGGTCTTGGGGCGCGGAATCTGCGGAGACACCCGATCACTCAGGAGGGCGCAGCCGGCTTGTCCCTACGGGGGCTTGCCCAAGCCCTGGGTCTTGCGGGAGTGGAGGGGTCGGGCTGTGCTGCTGACTGCAAAACTGGGTGAAAGTTCCTCGTGACGCTTAGCTGTGGGCATCGGGCGCAGCTCTTCCTGCAGTTCACTCTCTTAGGCCTTTGTCAAGTCTTAAAGGACTGAAAAGCTGGGGGTGGGGTGTGGGGGTGGTGAAAGCTGGAATGACCCCCCATCCTCCACCGAGGTGTAGAGTTGTCAGGCCCTCGCCTCTGAAAAGCCCGTCATTCGGTGTTTGTTTCCCTCTGTGGGTTGATTTTCATTTGTACAGAGCATCTGATAAGTGCCCTCCTCGTTGGAGTTTGTGTGCTTAGAAAGTCACGCACTGTGCTCGAAGTCCACAGGAGTCTTGTCCTGGCAAGGGTTGCAAACTCCAGTGCCTACAGGGCAGGCAAATGACAGAGGAATAGAACGGGAGTGGAGTGGGAACACTGGGGAACTGAACAGTGGAGACATTTCTGAAAGGAGCCAGCTGGTGGGAAAGTTGCCAGGTCTTCCCTTTATTTCAGGAGACGCAAGATGGAGACTTGTTACATGAAATAACCCAAATTTTAAAGAACAAAAATTAAACCATTTATACTCACATAGGTGTTCTACAGTGAAATTATACAGTGGTTGACCTCTCTACTATCTGGGTGCAGGGATCTTGACTTGTTGCACCATTCTCCACTGATAGTACCATATACCTAGAAGGACGCTAATGAATAAATTATTTGAATTATATATTAAAAGTCAGTCAGACACTTTCTATATCCTTTCATTTCATAAAATGGATTCTTATGCTGCCTTTCAGAAAATGTTTTTAGTAATGGTAACCAAGTATTTTATGCACATAGCTATATTTGGTTATACCCATATGGACGTATATATGGGTATTCCCATACCTTCTCTTTTTAGGAAAACATTTTGTTTACACTAGGCTTTTGTTGGTAATAATGTGATGCCCTTGGTGTCTTAAACCTTTTTTTTTAGAGTTCCTGGATGATTTTCATGCATGAGGTCCGGGGATTATATTCTGAAATATCTTTACCATCACTAAGCGTGACTTTCCTTCCCAGGGGCTATATCTGAAAGCCACTCAAGGATAGGGGACATTTATTTTAACACCGTTAGCCTGCTTACACACAGTCTGCAGTACATTTTACACCAGGATCCGGTACACTTAACATCTGTATTTGAAATCATTTCATGGTACAGTACATAGTAAAAACAATGCATTTTGAAGTTTATCTTCTGTTTTATTGAATACATGTTGATTACAACTCACGAAATTGATTATGTGAAATGATAGTGAATTATGAGTACATGCTGTTCATAAGCTGATTGCATTCTCTTGTATCTATTCAGAGTGGATTAAATTCTAAAATAAGTTATTTGGTGGTATCTTGTAGTTTTGGAGAACGTTATATTTTGAGTTCTTTTTGGAAGAGCCTGATGCTTTATCCATCTCAGTTTGTTATTTATATGCATACTTATTAACTAATTTATAATAAATGAAATTATTAATTAAATTTACTCATTTATCAATGAAATATATCAATTAACTTAAAATGTAAAAGATAATCTCATTAAAAAATTTGAACAATACAGAAATAAGCCTTCCACCCTTTGTTGCTAGCTGCACAGTTCTGTTCCCCAGAGATTACCATTAATTGCCAGTCTCATATATTCTTCTGAGATATTCTATGCCTATAAAATGTCTCTCTCTCTCTCTCTCTGTTTTTCTTTTTTGATACATAAATTTACACCTTGTTGCTTTGAGTCCAAATTAAATTTTTTTTGTATGTTTGATGATTGTACAGTCATGTTCAGTGTAGGATACAGAAAACCACTAGTTATTTTAAGCAGAAAGGATTTAATACAGGCAGTTGAGTTTTAGGTAGGTCCTGGAACAATATGAGGATTGATCCATTAGAAGATGCTGTCATTGGATCTCTGCCACAGCCCAAGTAGACAGTGGACACTGGGAACCTGAAGTATGGAAGCTGACATCCAGGCATTAGGGAACTAGATTAAGAAGTTGCCTCTATAGCCACTGTTTCTTAATACCTAGGAAGTTTCAAGAAAATCAGCTTCTTAATATCAATGGCCAGAACTCACAGTAAGGTGGCTTCTGCCTTGCTTCCATATTCTAAATTTAATGCCAGTGCATCAAATGGTGGAACCCATCTCAAAGAATCCTAACAGCTAGGTAGAATGGTAGGTAGAATAGGCAGAAAATTTGTGACCTCTGCATGCAAAAGTGAGTGGGATAGATTGAGAATAGTAAGGAAGATTCTACCATTATAGTGTAACTAATTGCTCACCAAATTGCTTTAAAATGGGGACTGAGTTGAGTGGACCAAAAAAATTGTGCTTATCTTTTCTGATTATTTTGTTTTTGGTTAGGATTGGGCCGAGCCTATGCCCTGGCTTTTGCAGAAAGAGGAGCATCAGTTGTTGGTAAGTTGGTGTATTTTTCTTTTTAATCAGTAGCCGATACTTGAAGTAGTCTTCACAAGCCACCTTTGTCTTTCTGTCAAATAATTGGCCAAGGTTGAATTTCATCATTACTTTTTACTTCTGCCAGCAATATTTTACCCCCTCAAGGCTGACTCTTTAACTTACTTTTTAAAGTGAACTGGTTTCACAGAATTCCCAACTTGGCAGAATTGATAAAAAGGGGCAAATAGTTGGGTACAGTGACTTGGGAGGCTGAGGTGGAAGAATCTCTTGAGTCAGGAGTTCGAGACTAGCCTGGGCAACTTAGTGAGACCTCATCTCTTTAAAAAAAAAAAAAAAAGCTAGGGGGGGGGGGGGGGGCCTGTAGTCCCAGCTACTTGGGGGGTGAGGAGGAAAGGTTGCTTGAGCCCAGGAATTTGAGGTTGCAGTGAGCTATGATTGTGCCACTGGAGAAGGGCCAGCACTTATTGTATAAAAAGAAATTCTTGACATTAGTAAATTGTGAACTGTAATATTTTTGGATAGAAGGTTCATCCACTAGATCAAGATAAAAGTAGAGCCCCTGAAATATATTGATGAAAATAAATAGCTTGAATTTTGAAAGCTGGAGTTAGGAAATCTCAAGTATGTATTTTAAAAAATCTCTTTCATAAAAAATTTTCAATTGGAAGAGTTTAAAAAAAATCTTAAAAAGTTAATTGAGGAGGCAGTTACATGAGTTTTTGTTTAGTAATTGGGGGTGGGAGGTTCGGTGGAAGGTACTATATTGAAGAATCCCAAAGGTGGGAGGTTTTAGTAACCTAAATGGTCTGTACTGACCTGAAGTACTCAGCTGCTGGTGTGGACATAGGAACAAGTTTGTCTACAATCAAGCCTTTGTGGGAAATGACTGAATGAGTGCTAAGTGCAGGGGT